AAGAAAAACGAATTGAAGAGGAACGAATACGAAGGGAACGAGAGGAGGAGGAAAGGAGGAAAGAAGAAGAAAGAAGAAGGTACAGGAATACTAGCACGAAATGATTTAGAAGCAGCGTAAATGTTAACAATAAGAGAATAGCCAGGAAGGGGTAAAAATTTGCAGGCTGATTGAAGAAGACACGAAGGTTTTATTGCTCTAAATCTGCACTATTGCACTTTGGGATATAATCCAGGTTTAAGCAGAAGGGCATATTTTGCATTTCTGCCTTTGTTGCTTTTTCTTTTACTTTTGAATCTGGTCTCATGTCAAAGCATTTGGAGCCAAGATGTTTTTATACGGTATTAAAAAATTTGTGACTTCTTTTTTCAGGCATGCAATGTGGTTCCGTGCTTTAGCTAGAATGCCTTTGACACACATCATACCGTACCGTGTTAGCAATAAGTACAACACTCATAATAGAGTGATACAGTTTATTTTGGTATTGTGTTTTATATCGTGGTTTATCATTTATCCATTGCGTAAAGCGAAGCCGCACTGTCCATATTCATGGAGAACCCGAACTGTTTACCAGTGATTTCATTACGATCCCATTTCTCTTTCTTTTTCATTTGGGAGTAACATATGTTAACTGCCTTTGGTTCTTGTGTCCCAATTAAAGTGAATTGCCTTAGGATCGTCAGTTACTAGACTAATGTGTCGTCTTGTTACAGAGAAATGGAGAGACTGGAGCAGGAAAGAAAGATGAAGGAGCTTGAGGAACTGCGCCGTAAGGTATGGGCCTGAAGTCAAATTGTCTGCAAACTTTATAAGACAGACCAGAAAGTTTATATTGCTAACCCGGATAAGGAACTTGGAAGGCTTGCATAATCTTTTGTTATAAAGTTTGTTGCTTCTAAAACAAGTTTTGCACAGGTGTCGAAGGGAGCGGATCTTACTTTCTTTCATGTAAATACACATTTTTTAACTGTCGCATTGTATGTTATTAGTTTAATACTAGTTGTTCTTTTACATTTCATGTTACTGTGTCACACTGTGGGTCTTAAGTCTGATACTAGGTGTTTTTGATAACAGGCTGAGGAAGAAGCTCGTATAAAGAGAGAAGAAGAAGAGGAAAGACTGAGAAAAGAGGAGGAACAGAGACAAGCGGTACTTGCGAAGGCTCGAGCACTTGAAGAAGCCAGACGACTGGAGGAAGCCAAGAAAAAAGCAGAAGAAGAGGCTCGCAGAAAGGTAAAAACCTGTTTGTCCATATAGATTGCCATTCAGTTTAAGAGTTTTGGTTTCTATTTGAAGCAATATTTAGTGTGTGGTCTTTTATGCTTGTCCAGATCTCGCGTTGAGAGTGTTGTTCAAATTCTTAAGTTGTATGGGGTGCTTTCCGTAGTGTATTCGGTCTGCGACTGTGCTCTGTCGGACGTAAGGTTTTCTGACACTGCAAACTCTTGTCAAAGTTTCTTTAAATATTGCACTTTTCTCACTGCTTGGTGTCACGCGAGACCTTTTCACACTCTGTTTAGTGTAAGTTCCTTCTTGTCTTCTACCAGAATGCGTTGCCCACAGTGTTTGTTTTATGTATGTTCCTTCCTGTCGCTCGGGACTTTGTCTTCTACCAGAAATACGTTGCTCACACACTGTTTGGTATGTGTTCCGTGGTGTTTCACTCCAAACCTTGTCTTCCACCAGACGTGTGCTGCCCACAGCGCTGTTTGGTGTATGTACCTTATTGTCGCTCCACACTTTGTCTGCTACCGGAGGTGCGTTTCCCGCACTGTTTGGTACATGTTCACCATTGTCGCTCCAGAATTTTGCTGTTACCAGAGGTGTAATGCTCACCCTGTTTGGAGTGTGTTTCTTACTGTTTCACAACACACTTTGTCTTCCTGTAGACGTGTACTGCCCGCACAGTTTGGGGTGTGTTCGTTTTTGTCACTTTGCACTTTGCCAGCTTCTAGATGTTCTTTCCTTGTCCCTCCAGATTGTCTGCTTCTAGATTTACAATTATAATGCCCACACTGTTTGTAGTGTTTTCGTTAATGTTTCACTCCACACTCTCTCTTCAACCATAAATGCATACTGTTTGCTGTATTTGCCTTAATTTCACTCCACACTTTGACTTCTACCAGAAATACGTTGTTCACACTTTTTGGAGTGTGTTCCTTTGTTCTACTCCAGACTTACTCTTCTATCAGACTTGTGATGCACGTACATTTTGGACTGTGTTCGTTGGTGTCGCCCTAGATTTGCCTTGCCCAAACTGACTGCTGTATGTGCTTTACTGACACTTTTATCTGTGCCGTAATGGTGTTCCTAAGTTAACTGTTACTCCAGATGTGACTAGGCTTACCCAACTCAAAACTTGCCGTGACATTCACAGTGTCGCATCAGACTTTGTTTTCTGCCAGTCCAGACTTGCGTTGAGCATATTGTTCAGTTTGAGGTTTTAGTGTGTTCCGTTCCTGAACAGCAAAACCTTAGTTTCTTTTACCTACACTTTCTCCTAAATGTACAGTCGCCTATCATTTAGACGTTAATGTAAAGTGTTGTTTGTTTGAAGGAGGAAGAAGAGAGGAAACGCCGCGAGGAGGAGGAAGCAAGGTAATGCTTCAGGACCGGATTGAGTACTGTATAAGCATATACGGTTTCATGATAACTGTCGTTAGGTTTGGGAACTTTTTCATCGAATAAAGAGCGTTTGAGATGATTCAGAAAACCGTTTCAGAAACCGTTATTCAGGTTAAATTAAGTTTGAAGGCCACGCATGGCCTTAGTCTTAAAAGATGGGTCTATTTGGCTTGAAATAGTATAGGGTGATCATTTATTGTAATTTCCACCTCTTGGTGTCAATAAGGGTAATGTCGGTAAATTACATTCAACTCGATAGCGAGGACACAAAAAAAAACGAAAATGTACTGGCGACCCTCCGAGACCTCTACAATTCTTCAGATGATACGAAAGCCGAATTCAATAATCGCTTAATCTTCAATGCTGTTAAATAAACAGAAAGAAGGCAGAAGAAGAAGAAAGGCTGCGGAAGGAGGCTGAAGCTGAAGCAGCTGCACAGATTGCTGAATTGGACAGACAGCTTAAGGTACTGTAGATATGACACCCTGTTTCCTTAAAAACGCAAGGATAAAGTCCCCCATTCTTATAATCCTACTCTTGTGACGGATCCTTCTTTTCTTAATTTAAAACCACAGTGATCGCTCCTTACAGTTGCCGTTTGATTTATTTGAACTTGATTTGAACACTACGTATTAAACGGTTCTTGTTTAAGGAGAGAAAATGTTTTGAGCCTGTGTTGTTTACGTACATACAATTATCGTTTTTAGCTGGAAGATAGCGACGAAGAAGAGGAAGACACCGAAGAGGCCTGGGACAGACCGCCCAGTCTCTATGATACTCAAGATCTGCCACTCAGGGAGGGGTACCTTATGATGAGAGGTCAGTGGTATGAGGATGTATATTCGCTGTCAATTTGCCATTTTGTCCCCTTTCATCCTCGTAAGGTTGAAGTTTGTTACGTTGTTGTGTTTATTATTCTTATTATTTTGCGCATTTTAGGTGGGCTATTAAGTTTATGGAAAAAACATTGGTGTGTTTTACGAGATGACACATTCATGTGGTTCAGAGGAAAACAGGTGTGTTTGGATTTGTTTTGGTAAAATAACACTCTAAAAATAGATTATTTATCATGCTGCAGATCTTAGAAACCCAGCCGAGAAAGCCGTTATTTCTTGAAGTTGCTCTTCTACTCCTCTTTTACTTGTTGTGCACTTAAGTTAAGAGATGTACATTTTTGCAAAGACGAAAATGCCGTTATTAGTATACACTGCTTTTCACCGGGGGTTTTGAAGTTAATTTGATCTAATACACCTTTTTAAATAATACAGGACGCTCTTAAATGTGGCTGGTTGATGAAGAAAGGTGGAGGAACAACAACTCTTTCAAGGTAGGATCAAACGTGCAGTCTTTGTCAGTCATTACAGACGCGATATGAAGGTGAAAAGAAAGAGCCAGGTTTGAAGTGTTATTGCGGACAATGTTAGTCCACAACCAATGTTGGCTGGGGCATTATAGCGGAGCCTCTGCACCTGTCCAATACCAACATTTATTTTGGTCCCGAGATACTACACTTCGTGCAATTCTTTCAGGCGGGGTTTGACACAAATTAACTGAACGATCGGTTGTTCATAATAACAGCACTTTCTTCTTGAATCGCTCCCTTATCTATATGCTTATTATCATCATTATCTCCATCTTGCTATGAACACTTTTTCTTTCAGACGAAATTGGAAACGTCGATGGTTTGTTCTGAAAGACAACGTTTTGACTTACCACGAGACAGACATGGATGGAGCCAAATCACTTGGAACCATTGATATCAGAAATGCAGTGTAAGTTAGGAGTGAACATAAAATCTACAGCGTCGTTCCACTGATTTTCGTTCTCCTAAGAACATTTTTTTCTGATTTCCACCATTGGTATTGTTTTGCCATTATCTTTGGCTAAATATTTTATATTAAACGCGCTTCTTGGAAAACAAATATATTGACATAACATTCCTCTGTTAAGCGTATGCCTCGAATTATATTAGTTGTTACCAAAATTTTTGATTTATGTTCTAATGTCTCAGCGTGAGACACACATTGATGAAACGATGCTTCTGGAGCCTACATGAGTGACATAATTTAGCATTTTGGAATATTTTTTCAGCCTTGGTTAGCAGGTTTTTCTACCGCCATTTTGATTGCAAGATTGCTTTGCTTACAGTCTTTCTATTCCCAGCTGCGTAAATGTGTATTGGTGACATAATACGGGAGGTAACACTGCTTAGTTCTAGCAACCTGGCAGAGGAGAAGGTGTCGGATTAAGAACCGTGGTGTAGATAGAATACTGTTTGAATAGCTGTTGTTGAATTTGAGAATGTGGTCAAATATTTTTCTTGTTTAAAAGACATGCAGACTGATAACTGTTATAACCTGTATGTGCCTTTTTATAGACGCATTGTCGACGATGGCGTTAAGGAAAACGGATTCAGCATTATCACAGAGAACAGGACTTACCACATAATTGCAGAAAACACAAACGACTGGAAGTGAGTAGCACTGCCGTTCAACCTCTCCACAACGGTCACCTTTGGGACAGAAAAAAGTGACCGCTGTAAAGAGGTGGCCGTTGTAGAGAAGTTCAAATGAGAGTCAATGTATGTACTGTCCGCCAAAAAACGTGGCCGTTGTAGAGAGGTGGCCGTTAGGGGAGGCTCGGCTGTACTTTAGTTTGAAAATTACCGGTACACATTCCCATGGGCTTTGTAAGGTTATCACTGAGAAATGGGTTTCTTTTCTGTGTATTTGTCCTTGTTCGTTGTTTGTGACGAGCGCTATAAGAAGTTACAATTTGCTGTTTAAAGATTTGTCGTAGGACTTAGTTGCAGGGGGATCCTCATGAATTGAAAGATGTCTCATTTCAAAAGCTGAACCCCGATGAAACGAAGTGCAAGAGGGGTGGAAAAATCGTTTGCTGTAACAGGACTCATTGTTTTAAATTCTGAGAGCAATGAGCGACACTTGAAAACTACACTTGTAAAAGTGTTTCATATATCGGGATCGGGATCGTGTTCCATACATTTACTTTAATTGGAAAGCGAGGGAGAGGGGGGGGGGGGAGGATTTCAAAGGGTGCACCGATATAACATAACAACTTTTTCCTTACGGTGCATTTTTGTGAAATTTACCTTTTCTTCAGCCAATGGTTCAACATTCTGAATCGAGTGCACCGAGCAAATGACGAAGAACTGAAGGGAATGCGCGAGGAATCTGCGAACGTCAAACATGCAGCGGTAAGATCTTAGTGTTTTACTAGCGCAATCTGGCTAAGTTTGTGGATCATTGAACACGCATCAGTAAATCTTCCTTTACCTTCTCCTTTTTCTGTGTTTAGGGAACCATCGATGTGGCCATGATCGAGTCCTGCACTCCTGGAGGAGTAGCGAACAAGTAAGACAAGGCTTGAATATTGGTCATTACCAAGGAAGCTTGTTTCACGATAAAAAGGGTTTAGGCGACAAATTGCGCGAGTCATATCCTAGTCGAGACCCAAAGGAGAAAATGCCTACACTTTAAGACGTTCGTTTTTCGGACAAATTACATTTATTCTGAATCTAACTTTCTTCTTACAGTGTAACCAGGTTTACCTTGATATGAGTGTCAATTTTTATTTGTAATTATTTGCCTTGCTGCTTGTATCGTACAAACGTTCGCCTAAATTGTCTATCCTTTTCTTTGCAGACCCAACTGCTTCACGCTGATCACGGCAAATCGTGTTATGAACTTCATAGCAGACTCTCCTGAAGACGTCAATGGCTGGGTTGAAGGTATGGAGTTACATGTATTGAGGTTTAGCAAAACCTGCAGTGTTGCACCAGTTTCGCTGCTTGTCAAGCTCTCTTCGTCGAGTTCGCCACCTACATTCTAGGCCCGAGCTGACTATTGGCAAAGTCCAAAGTTTGTACCTTCAGAGGGCCAATCTTAAAGGAACGGAAAATATATTTAATTTTTTTTTTCTTGCGGCAATTAAGGATTTATTTTCAATGGTTTACAGAAAGCGGTAGCGAACGTGTTGCCAACTAAGAAGTAGCGAACGGCGACAAGTTGCGAAACCGGTTGTTTCCATGGAATAAGATCCTATTTAGTTGGTGTAATACTGTCTCCAGTTCTGCGGAGAACAGAGTTTTGAATGTCAGCATGTTCCCTGTATCAAGGATTAACTGGTGAGAAATTTTTTAAAAGAGGCCGTTAAATGAAATGGAACAATCGCATATTTAGGAAAGAAGCCCAGAAATATAGGACGTGGAACTCACACTCCGCCAAACTAAGAAGGCGTTTAACGTTCAGTATGATTAATCGGGTAAGATACCATGATTGTTTCCGTCCCTTTCACCTTTTCAGTCGGACAAACGTGCTGTTGACTTTTAAGTACTACACAAATCTTCGGCTACAAATTGTAAGTTTTTGGTATGTGATCTATCCCGTCATGATGTTGGCACACCGGAGGGGGGCGGGGGG